CAGAATCTCTCAACCGGCGCCGGGCCTCCTCAGTAGTTCAGTTTGGGGGGTTCTGGGGGCACAATGCAGTGCGTTCACCGGTTTGCGCACGTGTTTTTCACGCGGTCCGCGTCATCCGAAGTGTCTCGTGGACTAATTCGAAGACACCCAAGACATCGCAAATGGACGATGAACCCATGATGTGGTGCCATGTGGTGCCCATCATCGGGTCTCTCTTGGTGAGCGGTGAAGTGACCTGAAAAAGGACCCAGGACCCTATAGTCTATATGGGGTTCTTGATATGGTTGGAGACCCTAGTATGACCGTTCTGACTATCCTAGAACCCTATATGAGATCATCTATGGGGTTCTTGAACTTCTGAATTGGTGAGTGCAGGCAGCACGGAAACCTCCACGGTGTCGGCGTCACAGCCTGGAACGTCGACCTGGCTCGAGTGAGTTCGACCTCCCTGATGAATCGACCAGGTCTGACTGAGCTGATCTGTTTTTTTTTTTCAGGTTCCTGGCTGAGTCCGGCATGGGGAAGAGGTTGAAACCACTTGTTAATTTGCTCGGCTGGAACCAGGTTCCAGCACATCCAAGACGAAAACTAGACCAGAACCCGGTTGGGGCGGTCTCATCCTCTCAGGTTTCACCGGGACCGGTGCTGGAAGTCGCCGACCCTTTGGCTCTACAAGTCGTCATCGCCCCGTCGCCGCGACTTCCCGTGTCCTTCAGCGAGTCTCAACAGACCTCATAGGCGAGAGCAGGTCAAGTACTCTCCCGCAAGCTAACATGGAACTCGAGAATTGATCGGTGGAAGAGCATTTTCCTCTACTTTAGGGTTCCATGTTAATCTGCAGGTCAAGTATACAACTCATATGACTCATATGGCAGTGGGTCATGGCACCTGAAGTCCGGGTTCCTCACACCCGAGCCCACACCGGACGCCATGTCTGGTGGCGTCCATTCTGTTCCCTTTTCCGTGGGAAAAACCTAGGTTCCCCCGGCTTTTGACGAATGGTGTACCAAAATCAGATATAGTTCGGGTTTGTTCCACTATACCAGTAACAGTGGGTAAACGATGATCACTATTACTAACCAGATCGAGCCATCTCTGACTTTTCACTCTGCGGATCAAGAGCCAAGCTCTCCGGAACCGAGGCCTTCCCAACAGCCACCTTCTCGCAGAACTTCCTGGCCGTGCCCAACAAGCCAGGTGCAACGTTGCTCCACGGAGAAGAAGGATCAACACGGTAAAACATGCCTGCGATGCGCATGATAGTGTTCCCAATAGATCAGGTTACACAACGTGTTGTTTTGATAGCTAACAATTTTATGATATATAATATGTGAGTAAGTATATATACATACACCTTTAATGAACCTTGAGAATTATTTGGTTGAGACAAACCGGTTTGGTTCGCTGTTGTGATATTTAGCGGCTGAGTTTCTGTGGCTGCACAAACTGAAACAGTGCATGGGGATTATGTTCCTGGCTATTGGGAACATCATGCTTCAATGCCTGGTGTGTTGTATATGGCATGTTGAGGTTTATTTCGATGTGACTTGGGCAATGTGTGTCATACTTTCCAGGCTGGTGTGACACAAGGCCAAGATCAGAAGCAACTCTTGTTACAGGACCAACAAAGCACATGCAAAATAGAAAGGCTTTGTGGGTCATGATTCAGATATCCCATCAGGTTCCGATAAAGCTGCCCACCCTCCTGTGCCTGAAGGAGGTGTCGTTTGCCACTCCTTTGCGCTGGCAAATTGGTCAACATCAACCAAAGACCCAGTTAGCAAACCTAAAGTTCCCCAAAAAAATGCAAACACTTCTCAGTGGTTCCATTTTCAGTTTTCAACCAAAATCTCGAATTAGAAAACTTAACAGGTTTGTTTCAAACATGTTGAAGTTCATGGCCCGATCGGATCGCATCCGGTGCTTGGTGAGAACATCCTCGGCGGCAGGTGTCCCAAAACCAGTCTCCTGGTCCGAGTGACTCAGGGCCGCAGGAGGAGGAATACAACAAATGGTGATTGATGCGTTGGTTGTTCGGGTTAGTGATCTTGAGGCTCTCCGGAAAAAGGAGGAGTTGGTTGTTCAATTGGGTGGCTTTGTGATTTTTGTTTGAAACCGGATGATTGGTGAGCGTGGTTACGATCTTGTGATCGTTGTGAAAAGGATTTGGGATCTCTCGACAAATCGGATATGTTTGTTTGGGTTGTTGATCGTTGTGAAACAAATTGGTTATTCATTTTGTTAAACATCCAGCCAACATCCAGCCATGTGTTGTTATTTTAAATGTTAAAATGTTAAACCAACTGCGGCCAGGGTTTGTCGTGCAGAATACAAGTATATATTATTATGATGTGTTTGCATTTAATACATTTGCATGAATCACTGAACCCTTAAACCACATGGTGGGTGTAGCTGGAAACACCAAATTTGACCAAATGCAAGTCGTTTGATTGTTAAGTAAACTTAGCAAAGAGAGTAGGCTAACAATGCTGACCGGAATACCTTGGCCCACAACGGTTGGCAAACTGATCAATATTTTTTGGGTGGAACCATAATTACTATAATACCTGTTCATAAAGGACCAGTTTGAACAGATGCAGTCCATGTTCATACACTCCCTGAAACATGCACGGGTTCATGGATGGCATGGCCCCTTGGATGACCATGAATTCCTGTACAAACAGGTGGTGCCATCCACTTCCAGAAATATTTCAAACAGTGACTAGAGAATCCAATCAACTTGTTACTGTTTTTATTCAATCAACTCGCATGCTGGATGCAAGTTGGGCCCATACTGGGTTTGCTTGACACACATCGCTCGCATCACTGCAAAATGTCGACTTCGACCCGCCTTCCACGGCCTCTTGGACCTTCCAGGTCGCCTCCACAAGCTCCTTCCTCGGACGTGATCGGCGAGATGCGCGAGGCGGGCGCCGAAGGCCGATCGGCGCGGCAGGCGGTCCGGACCCGAGACCGCCTTGAGAGATGAAACGAATGGAAAGGACCATGTAAAACAGCGCTTGGACTCCTGATATATGAAGTTTGCAACGCGCACTTGGGATTGATCATGACGGTCATGACGGTCTTTGCCGCTTTGCCCGTGGCCAGGGGGCTCTTAGCAGGGGCGACGAATCATCGTGGACTGTGGATTTCCTGAAGTTTTGCGGATCAGAGGTTTGACATGTCCCGAACTGGGTGCATCCCCTGCTCTATTTCTTCCCGGCCTTCCTGGACAGCAAATCCAAGAGGACTGGGGACTGCCTAGAGAGGTTAAGTGACCTTATAGGACCCTACTGGGGTACCTATATGGGATAGTCTATAGGGTCCTTCAACCTCTGTTGGTGGGGCTTTGTACTCGTGAGGTGTTTTTTTGGATCGGGGCTGCTGGACATGTCCTTTGAATGGTCCACTTGCAGTGCTTCGGCTGGCTCTTCGCATCCAACGGATTGATTTGGGCAGTTTTGAGTGCCTTTGTTCTGACATCCGATGGGAGACCTTTGTGTCATCCATGAATGAACAAGAAATCACTTTATGATCAACATGTGTTGGGTGTTTGAGAGGCCGAAGACCATCAATATATATATATATACCCTAGAAGTCCAGTTCGACTATATTTTGACCGACTGAAGTAAAGGACATTCCTAGACTCGGGTCACCTAGTCAGACCATTCTTTTTATAGTCTGATCGACTCCCAGGGTATATATATATATGTAAATATGAGAACTTGTACCTCAGTTCAGGCCGGAATTTCTCGGTACTTTCGATGTCCTGGGAGAACGGCAACGAAGGGGCCGGCGGCCAGGCAGTGAAGTCGACTGACTGGTTGGTGCCTTAGTGTGAGTGTGGCACGGATCGTTGGAACCTGTTCCAGCTGGAGTGAGCTCATATCAAAGAGTAGATTCTCTAGATTCCACAGCCAAACAAGATTCTCCAGATATCTCCAGATTCATTGGAACCAACTGGATCAAGACTCATTCCCAAATAGAGTCTAGATGCCTTCCAGAAAAACATAATCAAGATCCTCCAGTTTGGTTGGTGTCTGCATGCCTTCCAGTTTGGTTAAAAAGCTTCTGTGACTCCAGATGTGGTCAGCAAACGTTCGCGTTTGTAGACATTCATTGGAGCACAAGAAAGTACTTATAGATGTTTAGTCAGCGCCCTTGGATTACTTCTCTTGGTATCATCCTCGAGACCTCATGTTCACTATTTGTTGCCACAAGTTCATAATGTGTCTATAGAAGACACAGCCATAGGCGTCGTAGTTGCAGCAGAAAATGCCACCAAGAAGAGTGTTTTCCCCTTTGCACACTCCCTTGAAAAGACGTGCCAAGTCGTTGTTGTCAGGTGGCAGCTATATTTGGACAAGAAGACAAAGACCGGCACTCAGTGGTTGGTCCAACTATCCAGTCATCCAGCTTTGCCCAAAAGTGATGGTCCATTAGTCCGGTAATATACCACAACATGGATTGGCCAGATATAATCAAGTATATAATATATATATATATACTGTATTATATATATGCATATTATGGATTTTTCTTGGCTGCAGTTCGCCTGAACTTCGTATGTTGTATTGGCCAAGTTGAAAGACATCTTTGCTTGACATCTCGGTCAACAGGGTGAGACGGTGAGACCCTTGTGGGCTGAGCCTCGTCGCTTGCTTCTCCCGGGTGGAGCAGAACCTGCACGGAACGTGCATCGTCTTTTGAGCGCGGAAGTTGGCGTCCATCCATTTGCGAAACATATCGCTACCGTTTGTCCCTTCTTGCGAACCAATTTGGTGATGGGATAATGGGGTCTGGTTTTGTGATACATGATCTTAACGGCCTAGTGTATATTCTTGATTCATAACATTAATAACACCCCCATTATATGAAGAGCATGTCCAATTCAATTGGGGGGGCCAGACAAGGTCGCGCGTGATCGCGAATGCGACACGTACCAAATTCGTGTTGCAGCCCTCAAGCTGCGTGACGAGGCGCAGTGGGTGGTGGACGCCATGGCGGAAATGGCTGTTAACTCAGGTACACAGATGACCGCCCTCAAGAAGTTACATGCGGCCTCGGTGGACCGTCAAACCTGGTCACAGGGTGACGCCTGGACGGTCTTTTCTGGCCACAGGTCAAAGCCCCAGGCACGCTGAACACCAGCGCAGCATCGACGAAGACGGATGCTGCGACAGAACCGCCAGAAGGCGCTGTGAAATTCGATCGCACAGTCCTTGGTGTCCTCAAGACAGTCTTCAAAGATGTTCCTGTCCACCAGGTTTATTCAGTGATGATGCGCATGGGAGGCGCCACAGACACCAGGGACGTGTTGGCAGAGTGCCACAAAGTGATGGCCGACCACCTGAACAGTTCCCTGCAATTCATGGATGACAACGGAGACGTCCATGACACGTTGAGGAAAAAGAATGGAAGCTCAACCGGGTTCTCGGTTAGCGCAGGGAGGTATGCAGAACTCGGAGAAGTCACAAAGCAGGATGATTTGGACTTATTTGTGGCAGGAGATTACATCGAGAGCCTGCTGCAACGTCTCGTGCAAGGAGAGAATCCTGCCACTGTTCTCGATCCGAGTTCTGACGTGGTGCGAGCCAGTTTAAAGCTTGACTGCTACCAGTTCAGCAAGCTGCACGGGCCTGAGGAGTCCCTCGGCACCAGACTCATATATTCGTCATGCTGGGTGCGAAACTCTATTCTCAGAGGCCTGTTTGCTCGAATAGCCCCGTCTGCCATCCAGGCAGGGCTGTCGCTGAACGGGGTGGAAGCACTCCGCGACATGGATGGATCAGATGTGGTCGAATCCCCAGCCGGGCCACGCTTCAAGTTCACCGTCGTGAACGGCCAACCGTTGAGTGGCCTGTTGGGCACCAATTTCCTGGTCTGGAGCCTCCGTGGCATCGACAAAGGTGTGTGCGATGCAGTGCTGGCCGTTGCGGGCGACAGCGTATATGCAGTATTTAAGGGTGCCGCCAGTGGAAAGACAAGGCAGGCTCTGCTTATGCACGCCAGGAAGCCATTCTTCGGAAGCACATTCGACGCCCTAGTTTAGAATTATCTAAATCCCATACAAACAACTCCAATGCCTATAGATTCATAAAAGGCAAAGACCAGAAGTTCTTGAATGATATCCCTGTAACCAAAGAGACTCATGCCTCGTTATGTCGAGCCTCATTTAATAAGCCGCGGGTCCGCCTTGCACAGCCATTCCCAATCCCAGAGGGCGCCACGGTCCAATTTGGTACATGCAAGGCGGAGGTCATTCATGCCGACGGCCAACATGTCACCCTCAAAGCAATCCAAGGCCCAATCCCGGGGGCGGGACTTCTTCAATATAAGCACCATGCCTATAATATCCACGACATGTCTCGCGCTTTCCACTCGTACTGGTCCCAGTACTGGATGCGGGACACGTATCAAGAGCAGTTTGAAGATGCCCCATGGCAACAACTTATCGAGGACCTAGACAACACCATCCCCGTTCAGCCCATGTTAGCCATTGAACATGACAACCCGAAGCTTCTTAAAGCATCCATCCACCGCCTCAAATCCCACAGGGCAGTGGGTGTGGACGGCTGGCACGCGGAAGAGCTCCAGTGCCTAACAGAGACCATGTTAAGTGACTTGTCCACCCTGCTTGCATCGGCCTGGCAAACCGGCCTTACCGCACAATTGATGCAGGCACGCACGCTGCTTTTTGCCAAGCGAGATTGCCCCACCTCGATCTCGGATGGTCGCCCCATCACGATACTCGGATACATTGCCCGCGTCACCTCCAAGTTAATCCTGACCAGGTCTTGGCCCAGTGGGCGGCCCTCTGGCCACCCACCATCAGCGGTGGCCTTCCACATAGATCAGCCCGCGATCTCTGCGTTATGCAGCAGCTTCAAATCGAGCATGCCAAAACCCACCATACCTCATGGGGGGGGTGGACTATGGATTTTGTCAAAGCATTTAACTTAATCCCGCGCCGGGTGGTGCGTCATATTTTTGTCTTGCTGGGTACCCCACATTTATTTTAGTGATTTTTGGTTCAAATCTCTCTCCAGACTCACTCGGGTTCTACAGTGTGGTCGTGACCTTAGTGACCCATTTCCATCCACCACCGGACTCCCTGAAGGCGACAGCATGTCTGTTGTAGGCATGCTTGCACTCAGCTTTGTGTTCCACGCCAAACTTGGATCCCCACGGGTTCACCCCTATGCATATGCGGATAACTGGTCCTTTATGTCCACATCAGAAAGGCATAGTTTCCAAGCAATGCAGGCTCTGCTTAATTTGGTCTCGGACCTTCGCATGAAAATAGACTTTAATAAGTCGTGGTGCTGGGCAACAACCAAGACCTTCCGCATGTTCTGGACCCAGGCGTCAGCCCTATTAGTCCGCCCCGACTTCGTATTTACCATCAAAAGCCACGTTCATGATCTTGGCTGTAATATCTCCTATACCCATGCCGTGGTTTTAGGTCCCCTTCGTGATAAAATTGATAATGCCGTTGCCAAATGTAATCGCCTTCGACGGTTGCACTTGTCGTTAGAGGAGCGAGCGGAAAAATTACAATCCGCAATCTGGCCAGCGGTCTTCTATGGTGCACTCGGCCAAACCATTGGTTGCAAGCACTTCACCACACTGCGTAGGGCTGCCACCTCAGTGTTAGTTGGTGATCATAAACATGCTTCTAGCATCATCGCCATGCAGTTTCTCACTCACAAAGTCCAAGACCCCCTCCTTTACATTGTATCCGACATGCTTTGCACGTTGCGTCGCCTGTTCGTGTACTATCCGGACTTGGCCGCACAGATCGTTACCACAGTCCGCGAACTTCTCGGGACAAGTCAAGGGCCCGGCAAGCGCCCTTGCATCATATATGAAGACTCTAGGCTGGGAAATGACCCACCATGCCACGGTTTTAGGACCTGGTGGCCTACGCCTCAGCCTGCATGCGGCCTCCACGAAACAAATCAAACAGCAGTATTGCCTGGGATTGGCAATGCCATCATGAAACCCTTCATCGCAAAGGGGTTCCCAATTGTCCCTTCGACTCGTATACCACCAATCGCCTGATGCAGAAACTAACAGATCGCCAACGCAGAATACTTGCCCTTAGCCTCACGTCCGGATGGCAGTCACTTGGAGGCATTGCGGCCTGGTCCGCAACACAGTCCCCAGAGTGCCCTTGGTGTCATCAATATGACACACATATACACCAACTGCTTCAGTGCCCGGTGTTCCAGCATGTTCGTGATACGCATCCTGAGGCAGTCAACTACATGTCCGCACACCACCACACATGCTGGTTCCCTCTCCCTAGCCACCACCCGAGTGTTGCACTCGTTCGCCAAGCCATGCACCTTCGTCATCACAATATCACCATCAATGAACACCTTCATTTGTCTCCTCACGCGGTTATTTACACCGATGGCACTTGTGATGACACACGTGACCCGTACTCGGCCAGAGCTGCATGGGCGGCCATCATGTACACTCCCCCAGGGGTCACCCCGAGGGACACAGCATTCCAAGTCCTCGCAGCCGGTCACTGTCCAGGTCAGCAGACAATCAACCGATCTGAACTGTTTGCCATGGTTGTTGCAGTCGAATATGCTGCAAAAGACAACCCTACCACTCCAGTCACTTTTGTGACCGACTCTCAATACGTAGTCCATTGTATAAGCCGGATTGAAGATCGTACCCATTCGCAAAACCCTCACAAAAAGTCTCACTGGGACTTGATGAGCCGCCTTGCGTGTGCCTGGGACCCGCATAGATTCAGTGTTCTCAAGATAAAATCTCACACTGATATCACCATGGCATCCAACGCACAGGAGGCCCTCCACATCAAGGGCAATGACCTTGCAGCCGCTGCCCGTCTCCGTACCACGGATGATCCCACCTTTGATGCCTTGTGCAAAGAAACACGAAGTTTCATGAATCAACAACAAGACATATTCCATAACATATACTTGTACCTACTCGATATTGCCTACGACCGCATGACCAAACTAGAAGAAGCTTCTGCAAAACCATCACTCCACTCTGCCGCAGGCCCACTGTCTGCCGCAGAAGCTGACGTGTTCGCTAACCAAATTCATAAACTTCGTACGTGGGAACCACAAGGTGAGCCATTTGCCACACCTGCTGAGCCCCACCGAGTTGTCTTCTGGTGCAGCACCTGGGGATCTAACATTACCTCTCTTGTGTGGCGCTTCTGTGCCCTTTTGAGATGGCTACATCCTGATGCTGCTACACAACCAGGGGACCCTGGTATTTCGTGGACTGAACTCGCCATTTCATTTATGTTATGGTCCAATCGATATTTGCCGCTACGTGTTAAAGAAACCAAGGGGTATAAGTATCTAGATTTCACAGATCCTGCTGCCCAGTTGCTCCCCGTCAAGTCCCGCTCAGTAAGGGTTCTTGCCGAAAACTTTCGTTGGATAGTCAAACATATCCAGACGTTCTCACGAAACAACCTTATCCCCAGGTATAAGAAGCAGGGTACATCTAGTCTGACACGCCTGGGTTTTACATCCGATCATGAGGGGGGGAGTGTCTCGACGCCCTCGGTTGCCAAATTCTGAGGCCACGTATTCCTACATCCACCAAATGCTCAAAACAATGCCTCACAACCCGCCCTTTCACACAGATTTTTTGGCACCTGAGATTCCGCCGCAACCTGACCCTCCGCCTTGGCCAAATTGGCCTGAAGTTACGGCCTCTAAGCGTGATGCCTTTGTCCAACACGTCCGATATGCCCTCTTTAAGAAGAAGGATTTTGATTCCATTCGACATCCAGACGCCCCATGAATTCATCATCTTGCAATACAATTCGGAATTTGCAGTGTTCAAGGGCCGTGTTCTCTTTCCCGGACCAGGTGCCACACTGACATACCTTGAGTTGTTGTATGACATGCAGACCCGGTCCTGACACTCCTGTCGGCCCGGCTCATGCCGTGTCAGCGTGCAACCACACGACTTGCATGCGATCTCTACGCCCGCAGCGGATAGAGTGAGCTTAGCGCATTAGTGTGATCCTTGAACCTGCCTTGGACAGTTCGTGACACTCGCAATGCCTTTTCTTCGTTGATCCGTGTCGTAGATCTCTTTGTTTGGCTCTTTTCACCACCTTCTGTATAGCATAGCGTCTCAATCTGTTCACCTCCACCGCCACCCCCCCGGACCAGACGGGAAGGGAGTGAGTGGAAGCGCCCGTTAGACGACGGTCCGCAAGTGCGTGCATTCAATTGGGGGGTTATTAATCAAGCATTAAGAATCTACACAGCAATGCGGTTCGACCTGTAGTTTCTTGGTGACAGACTGCCAGCCTCACCATCCAATTTTGACACGACTACGCTGCTTTGTTCACAGAGCAAACACCACGCAACCTCAGGTGAGTTACTGAAGACGACACGCCCAGTCGCCGACAAAGAACGCCACAGTCCTTCTTCCCCCAGTCACCGACTTCCCCAGTCGTTCGTGTATACGTGTGGCATGCGGTGTCGAGGAGGTCTCGGGGGTCTGTGGAGTCCAACGTTGGAGACCCATCCCAGACACGACCTGTCTGGGACTGCCATAGGACTGCCAAAAAACCGGCCAGGGGTGGGTGCCAAAAGGGTTTGCCTTTTTCTCGGTAGTCCGGCAGTCCGACAGGTCGCGTTTGGGCATGGCAGTCACAAGACCGGGAAGGTCTTTCGCTCGTTCACGCTCGCTCTCCGTGGGTCACGACCACCGACCCATCCGAATCCGACCCGGCACAGGTGCCGAAGGATCACGCGGGTGAACCCCTGCGGTCAAACCCCCGAACCCGAACGAAATGCGGCCGCAGGTTTCGTGTGGCCGCCGACTGGTTCGGGGTCTCGGATAGACGACGGGTCTCGGTCTTGGGCGTGGCGAAGAGATCCCAATGGGATCCATGTACCAGCATACCATCGTACA